ATTTATTTATTTATTTAAACTGGACTATTTTGATTATTTTATATTGTATTGCGAATGGTATTGAAAATTTAGTTTCTTTGGTAAAATATGTTGTGGCCCTAAAAAGGGCCGTTTTGGATCTTCCTCCGCAAACGCAGAAAATTTACTTGGAGCTGGTGTACTTGGTGACAGCCTTGGTTCCCTCACTAACGGCGTGCTTGGCCAACTCTCCGGGCAGAAGCAGGCGAACAGCCGTTTGGATTTCCCGACTGGTGATGGTCGACCGTTTGTTGTAGTGGGCCAGACGAGAAGCCTCTGCAGCAATACGCTCGAAGATGTCATTCACAAAGCTGTTCATGATGCTCATCGCCTTCGACGAAATGCCGGTGTCAGGGTGGACCTGCTTCAGAACCTTGTAGATGTAGATCGCATAGCTCTCCTTCCTCTTGCGCTTCTTCTTCTTGTCGGTCTTGGTGATGTTCTTCTGAGCCTTGCCAGCCTTCTTGGCTGCCTTTCCACTAGTTTTCGGCGGCATTATTTCAGTTCACTTTTAATTTCACAAACACAATTCACTGATCATAACGGAGCCGGAACGCGTTCACCCTTATACTTTTTTTCGAGCAACCTTTTCAGGTATAAGGCACCAAACCCTAACTAAACGCGCAGGCAGGCAAAAAAGTATAAATATGTGGCTACCAATTTTTCTCGAGCATTCGTTTTTGTGTGTTAAGTGAACTAAGTGAAATAAAGCAAAATGTCTGGTCGTGGAAAAGGTGGCAAAGTGAAGGGAAAGGCAAAGTCCCGCTCCAACCGGGCTGGTCTTCAGTTCCCAGTAGGCCGTATTCACCGTCTGCTCCGCAAGGGCAACTATGCCGAGCGTGTTGGTGCCGGCGCTCCGGTTTACCTGGCTGCCGTGATGGAATATCTGGCCGCCGAGGTTCTCGAGTTGGCTGGCAATGCTGCTCGTGACAACAAGAAGACTAGGATTATCCCGCGTCATCTGCAGCTGGCCATTCGCAACGACGAAGAATTGAACAAGCTGCTCTCCGGCGTCACCATTGCCCAGGGTGGAGTATTGCCCAATATCCAGGCTGTTCTGTTGCCCAAGAAGACCGAGAAGAAGGCTTAAACGTTCCAAAAGCAGAGCCAACTACATACTTGTACATAAACATACCCAACCGTCCTTTTCAGGACGACCAAGTTTTTACCAAAGAATTGTTAATATTTTCAAATAGAACATCAGGCATCAAAAAGTATTTCAAATAAAAAATATGTATCTAGTGAACACATCATCTTGGGTTTTAAAAATGTTCGGGAAGTTAAATAATAATTTTATTGTATAACTTTATCAGACAGACTGCTTTCGCATCTGAAACAGTACAGTCTGAACAAAAAACATTTTTATACATGTCTGTAAGTGATTGTTTTACAACACATTTTTCTACCTGTTTGAGAAACGGACGAATGCTCGCGGTGAAAACTAAATATTTCGATTTTGTTCACTCCCAATTTGGAGTTCCCAGCCAATAAAACAAAAAAGCGTAAAATGTTTTGAAAATTTGTCTGCTTTGGAGATGTAATGGTGGTCCTGAAAAGGACCGATTGCTGAATGAAGTACAAGCTGTACTTGTTTTTAACCGCCGAAACCGTACAGGGTGCGGCCTTGCCTCTTCAGGGCGTACACGACATCCATGGCTGTGACAGTCTTCCTCTTGGCGTGTTCGGTGTAGGTGACGGCATCACGGATAACGTTCTCCAGGAACACCTTCAGAACACCACGTGTTTCCTCGTAAATTAATCCGGAGATGCGCTTCACACCGCCACGACGAGCCAAACGGCGTATGGCTGGCTTCGTAATACCCTGGATGTTATCACGCAGCACTTTGCGATGACGCTTGGCGCCACCTTTTCCCAAGCCTTTGCCTCCTTTACCACGACCAGTCATTTTTCACTTTTCTACTATATTAACACACTGCACGAAAGTCACTGAAGAACTAATTCCGATTTTTCGGCGTGCCCCTATTTATACCTAAACCCATAGATACCCGAGCGAGTCCGAGCGATATATTCGTCTCGCTCTTCGCTCGTCAAACGAGATGGCCTCTGCCTCTTTCTCTTTCCAACCCTCTACATTTTGCTATATAAGCAGGCAGCGAACGCGGCAACCGTTTATTGTGTTTTCAGACGCGAAGTGAACATCAGTGAATATAAATATCAACATAGAAATCGAAAATGGCTCGTACCAAGCAAACCGCTCGCAAGTCGACTGGTGGCAAGGCGCCACGCAAACAACTGGCCACCAAGGCCGCTCGTAAGAGCGCCCCAGCCACCGGAGGCGTGAAGAAGCCCCATCGCTATCGCCCCGGAACTGTGGCCCTGCGTGAGATCCGTCGCTACCAGAAGAGTACCGAGCTGCTGATTCGCAAACTGCCTTTCCAGCGTCTGGTGCGTGAGATCGCTCAGGACTTCAAGACTGATTTGCGGTTCCAGAGCTCGGCAGTGATGGCTCTTCAGGAAGCTAGTGAAGCATATCTTGTTGGCCTTTTTGAAGATACCAACTTGTGTGCCATTCATGCCAAGCGTGTAACAATCATGCCCAAGGACATCCAGTTGGCCCGTCGCATTCGCGGTGAGCGTGCTTAAGCTGAGACGGTCTCAACTAGCGACCAATGCGCCAGCATACTTTGTACAAATCGGTCCTTTTCAGGACCACAAAATACTTTCGATGAGATATTAATTTTTCTTTTGGCGTCTTCTAATTATAATAAATATATAAATATGTATTTTATTTTAATAATTGGAATGTGAACAATGTGCAAGGTTTGAAGGGAATAGCACTAACCATTCAACTGTCATTAAAAAACCGAAAAACTATTAAACTCAATTTTAAAATAAGTTAGCAACAATAACGAATCCCTTATTTATCAAATAAAACAAAACCTATCTCGAAAAAGTTCGAATTTGTATTTTTTCGATTGGTATTTGGTGGGACTTTTATCAGGCACAAGGTTGTTTGGGACAAGCACAACCCACATGCCGTATTCAAATCTCTTTAAAAAATCGAAAAACTGCAAAACACACTCTAAAAATAAGTTAGCAACGTTTAGGAATCTCTTAACTATTAAACAAATCAAAAATATGTCAAAAATCAATACAATTTATATTTTTTTTTTGATTGGGACTTGGTACGATTTTAAATAGGAGCAAGATTGTAAGGGAATAGCCAAGCCAAATTTGCCTATTTTGGCTAAAACTATCATAAACATTACTAAAAAATTAAGTCGGTCAAAACATGCAAATGATTTGTTTAAGAAAATCTTAAATAACTATAACATTTTGAAACTTTTATATTTTTTTCATCTCGAAAACTATGACCGAATGTACCCTGAAAGCAAACTTTTTATGTCGACTGGGCTCAACTTGGAACAAGTAATAAAATATCTTAATTAATGAAAACGGATTAAATTTTCAATATTTCCTAAAGTAAAAAGTTCAAATTTCATTTTGTATTAAGAATCGTACAAATATTTGTTAGATTTCTAATTTTAAAATAGGTTTTTAAATAAATTGCTCAAATTACAAATGACAATGTTCAAGTTTATTCAGCGATAAAAGGCCAACGAAACAAGATATTACATTTTCGTAAATGCAAAGTGCTTTATGAAACATTTAAGTTAGTATAGAATCAACAACATTGTTTCGATTAAAGGTCTTAAACAATAAAAACCAGAAAATAAGTTTGCACTTCAAGCAGACATCAGCACAGCAAATGACTGATGTCAGACCCAAAGTAGAAGTGCTCTCCTCCTCGATTCTCACCCGTATGAAGGAGGTCGGCAGCAAGTGCGCGCGCCATTTTCTAAACAACAAAGTGTATTTAAGTGATCAAAAATGACTGAAACTGCAGTTGCAACGGCCGCGTCCCCAGTGGCTGCCCCACCAGCGCCAGTTGAGAAGAAGGTGGCTGCCAAAAAGGCATCTGGATCCGCTGGCACAAAGGCAAAGAAGCCCACTGCACCGCCATCGCACCCGCCAACTCAGCAAATGGTGGACGCTTTCATTAAGAATTTGAAGGAACGTGGCGGCTCATCGCTTCTGGCAATCAAGAAATATATCACAGCCACCTACAAATGCGATGCCCAGAAATTGGCTCCATTCATTAAGAAGTATTTGAAATCTGCCGTCGTCAATGGGAAACTGATCCAAACAAAGGGAAAGGGCGCGTCTGGTTCATTTAAACTGTCGGCGTCTGCCGCGAAGGATCCCAAGCCAAAGGTTGCGTCTGCTGAGAAGAAAGTCAAAAGCAGGAAGGTAGCCGTTAAGAAGACCGGAGCCACCGCCAAGAAGGCTGCCGACAAAAAGCCCAAGATCAAGAAGGCTGTGGCCACCAAAAAGACCGCCGAGAAAAAAAAAAACCGAGAAGGCAAGGGCCAAGGATGCTAAGAAAACTGGAACCGTGAAGGCAAAGCCAGCAGCACCAAAGACCAAGTCGACCGCAGCGAAGCCGAAGGCAGCTAAAGCACCCAAAACCAAGCCAGCGGCGTCTGCTAAGCCGAAAAAGGCGGTAAAGAAAGCAGCTGCCCCTGCTACAGCTAAGAAGCCGAAAGCAAAGACTACCGCTGCCAAGAAGTAAACTGTGAAAAAGTACAGTACCTGTACCTGGACGCTCACAGTCGCAATTTAAGATTTCGAAATCTGAAATTGATTTATACAGCCCTTTTCAGGGCTACAATGTTTGTTAACAAGAGAAAGATTCTTTCGATATAGCATTCAAATTATTTTATAAAGCAAGAATATAGTGATTGTGCTTTTTTGAAAGAACTGTAGCGGCGGAATTACATCTTTGAAAATAGTTTATTTAATTCTTTTGACGCACGCAACCGCGGCTAAGTCGGCAAATAATGTAGCATTCAGAATCGAATAAATTTATTTATTTATTTAAACTGGACTATTTTGATTATTTTATATTGTATTGCGAATGGTATTGAAAATGTAGTTTCTTTGGTAAAATATGTTGTGGCCCTAAAAAGGGCCGTTTTGGATCTTCCTCCGCAAACGCAGAAAATTTACTTGGAGCTGGTGTACTTGGTGACAGCCTTGGTTCCCTCACTAACGGCGTGCTTGGCCAACTCTCCGGGCAGAAGCAGGCGAACAGCCGTTTGGATTTCCCGACTGGTGATGGTCGACCGTTTGTTGTAGTGGGCCAGACGAGAAGCCTCTGCAGCAATACGCTCGAAGATGTCATTCACAAAGCTGTTCATGATGCTCATCGCCTTCGACGAAATGCCGGTGTCAGGGTGGACCTGCTTCAGAACCTTGTAGATGTAGATCGCATAGCTCTCCTTCCTCTTGCGCTTCTTCTTCTTGTCGGTCTTGGTGATGTTCTTCTGAGCCTTGCCAGCCTTCTTGGCTGCCTTTCCACTAGTTTTCGGCGGCATTATTTCAGTTCACTTTTAATTTCACAAACACAATTCACTGATCATAACGGAGCATTCATTCATTCATTTATTGTCAAAATTTTAGTTCAGATATACAGTTATTCTTAAACAATAGTACAACATGATTGACAAGGTTCGTGCTTACTGACTATTTAGAAAATTATAGTTTAACCCTGCGCTTCAAGCTTATCTGGGCTTTAGTCTTTTAATATTGATCTTATGATTTCTGCTAATATGAGTGTATTATTGTATCTTAAAAATAGTTCAATTTCATTTCATTTGGTATGTTCCGGGAAAAAGTTTTTTTTAAAAAAACCCTGAGTTCATTAGTTTTGATTGTTTTGTTTGAGACTTAAATCTATGTTATATACTACGGGTGAGGGTAAAGTGGATATTTACAGGTGGGGAATATGTACAAGGAATATAAGTTGAGTGGATCAACTAAATTATATTGAGATTTCATAATATTGTTTATGATTTAGATATTTATATATGTTCTTTTATTGACTTATGTTGTAGACTAGGCCATCAGCTGGGCTGATGGATTGGTGTTTTCTATGGTAGAAAATAAGATTTCCGACCTCGTCGTACAGAATTCCTTTTTCCATGAGATCATTTCTATGGTGTATGGTGATTAGTTCAGTTGGTAAGTATGGAGGGATTTGAGTTTGTGATATGTTGTTTGTGATGATGAATTTATCTAAGATGAGAAACATTTGTCTATCTAATCTCGTAGTTTTGGTTATTGTGTAAAGGGTTTTATTTGGTATATAGTGATGTGTAAATATATCCCTGCATTGAGGACCAATAGAGATGCGAAGTATTTTGCGTTTGTTGCATTTCAAGTTGGAATCGGCTGGAGGAATTAGGAAGAAGGTATTCGTTTTTGGTAGGGCTATCGATAAAGTAGGAGGGTGGCAACCCCTACTGGAGTGGCGCCCCCTTCTGCTGATGTCTTGGCTATCTAGCTATTTAAACTAGCCCGGTTCGCTCTGGGTATGGCTAGGATGGCCTTGATATGTCCAATGACCCAATTTTGAGAGAGGCAAAGGGAATATGGCGAGATATAGGCATGATAGGCAAATTTCTATATAGTCGCAGCCATATTGTCCCAGCAGACAGAACATAAAAATGTTAAAATAGTGTTTGTGCCGAAATATATAAAAAGTGAGTGTTAGAAAAATTTGTGTTAGGTTTAATAGTTCATTTTATTTATAAATAATTATTCGTAGGGCAACCGGGGTCCCAATACATAGGGCCCCGGGATATTTAAATTGGAAGTTACACAGGGATATTTAAATTGGAAGTTACCCAGGGATATTTAAATTGGAAGTTACATCGGGATTTCAAATTGGAAGTTACATTGGAGGAAATAAATCGTGATTTTAAATTGGAGGAAATTAAATCCGGAAATTCCAATTGGAATAATTGAATTGGACTATTTAAATTGGAGGCATAAATTCAAATAAAAGCGGGACACATAATCTGGATATTGGCATCCATACCTCTACGCACCTTCTTTCAACCAAGCGATACATTTTGGACCACAATAACTCGCCATCCTCGGACGCCGCCAACGCTGTCTAAAATACGCCGGTGAGTCCGTTCCTGGCTGTTAAGTCGCCTTGGAGTAACTGGCTGGCCATTTCGCGCGGCGTTGAAAGGCACCGCCATCTATCCCTTCCTTAACCACCGTTCCCCCGGGTGTTCCAGGCCCTTATTGGTGCTGGCCTCCGGCAGAGTACGCTGCAGTCGGGACATATTTAGCCCGGCGCCTAGCCCAGAAGTGGCTGAAATTATTAACGTTAATTTAACTGTGCACTTTATTAAATTTCTGTACTTACCTGTTGACCTGTAAATTTATCCGGACTTAGACCCGAAAACCTCAATTCTTGTCCTCGTTGTTGCCTGTAAAAAAGGGTCGCGATTATTAGTTTTCGGCGGGATTGTTTACAGCGCGTAATACTTACCGTTTGGCCTGTCCCTTCTTTTCCCTAGGAGCTCCTCAGGATTAGGTGACCCGACACATACCTAGTGTGTGCCCTTTTTTGCGCCCCGTTCCACTGCGAGTTCCACCAATACATGTCTGGTGGAACATTATTTCCGCGGCGCCTGTAGCCTTTGCCAAAGGAAGGTAATCTTCCGCTTTGACCGCGTAGATTTGTAGACGGCGGCCAAGTTTGGTCGTAAAGGCTAAGGAATGATAAATTAATTACTAGGAGAACAAGTTATGTTAACTTTAGTACTTACTGTGGATATTAAATGTATATGAAGACTGAAATGTGCGAGTGAGTTGTCGCTGTGGGGGAGATGGAGCTGTCCTAGTCGCGAGGAGTGACTTCGACCAGCTGATAATGGGTGATGCCTCCTCAGAATTATCCGGGGCATCCTTGGTTGGGTGGGCGTGCTTGGCTAGGTCACCAATAGCCACCAAAACACCATATATTTCCCGTCACTCCTAATTGTTTGCATTGTTTACATTTTGGTTTGTTTTGTTTGTTAGTGATGGCGATAGTTTTTGTGAAGTGAGACGCGCGTATATCGATGTTTATGTTGTGGAATCTGTAGGGACATCGGGGATACTCCGCCCTGGGGATTCGGGAGCTAGCCGGCGCCGTCCCAGGACCAAATGCAGTTCCATAACACGTTCAAGGCGACGAAGTTCCTCCATTATATTGCTGCTTATATTCATCCAAGCAATACAGCCATAAGTGAGTACTGGTTGAATTAGTTTTTTGTAAGCAAGTGTGGACATTTTAATAATAGAGTTTATTTCATTTATTTGTGCGGTCGCTAACGGCTTATAAATATGATTAATTAGATTTAATATAGTATAGGCATTCTTTTTGCAGTACTCTAAGTGTTTCTTAAAGTTAAGTTTTTCATCGTAGATTACTCCAAGATATTTCAGTTGGTCGTCATATTTTAGTTCTTGTTTGCCGTATATGTACACTTTAGGTACAAATTTTCGGGCGTTTTTGTAAATTCCAGTGAGGCACGGTCCTTTGAAAATGGAGCTTATGCATTTTTTAGCATTTAGTTTAATGTGCCATTTGGTAAAGTAATTGCATAGCATGTCTAGGTATGTATTAATGTCATTCTGTGCACTCGACACATATCCTGCGGTTGCGAGTAATAGAATGTCGTCTGCATATATGAGTGTTTTTATTTGCGTAGATGTAGCTGTATTCGGTGTATAGTCGGGGAGATCTGCAAGATATATGTTATAGAGTATTGGTGCTAGTAGGGATCCTTGGGGAACACCTGCTGGAACTGTTCTTATTATTGAGATTTCGTCTTCAGAGGGACTATGTACTTGAAATGATCGATTTAATAGGTAATTTTGTATTATTTTAATGGTTTCTGGTCTAAAATTAAAATGTTTGCTCATTTTGTAGATGAGTCCATCAATCCAGACCGTATCAAATGCCTTTTCGAAGTCAAGAGCGCAGGCGATTGTTGCACGCCTGTGGGCCAGATTTCCATAGATGAAATCATTGGCTGCAGCAAATGCGTGATTAGTTGATAGTCCGTCTTTGAACCCGTACTGATTTTCTTTTAATATTCTGTTGGAATTCAGATGGCGTTTAATTTCTGATGTTATTACTTTTTCTAACAGTAAACTTATTGCGGATAGTATTGCAATTGGTCTAAAAGATTGCAAGCTGTTAGGCTTGCAGTTTGTTTTTGGGATTGGGATGACTTTGCTGTGTTTCCACTCAGATGGATAATATCCTATATTGAGGCAGTGATTAAATATAATTGCTATGTGGTTCAGGACTGGTTTATTGCAGTTTTTGAGAAGAAAGTTACTTGTGCCATCTGGGCCCATAGTTTATATATTATTTTTAGTTTTGAGTATTTGGAGAAGGTCTTCTGCGTTTGTGAATCCCATAATTGTGGCTCCTGTCCAATTTCCATCAGCTGTGTGTAGGTTGTCGAATGTTATTCTATTTGTGTTTGATGCTATTGATCTTATTTGGTTGGCGGTTTGTTTTATATTATTTGAGTGCGTCCTTAGATATAAGCTATTGTAAAATGTTTTGTCGTCTCTTTTATGAATTTTCTCGAACGCCCATGCTAAAGCATTGACCTTTTCAAAAGTTGATGTTATTTTTCGAGAGTTGTTAATATTGAGATCAATATCAATTGATGTAGCTTCATCGTTTGAAAGGTAAATGTCAGGTGACAGTTGATCTTGTGTATGTAAGTTTGGGTTTAGTGATTTAATTGTTTTATGACTTAATTTGTTATTGTTGAATTTTCCGAGTTTAAATGTTATGGATTTGATTTTGGTTATTTCTATGTAGTTTGTAATTTGGATATTTAGTTCTTTAATGGTATTTTGGATTTGTATTAGTTGAGTTTGTGTTAAGCTATGGCGGTGGCGGAAAAGGGATCGTCTTAGTTTCCTTTTGATTTGAATTAATTTGATACATTGATTGCTGAGATTAATTTTTTGGTGAGGTTTGGTTGGGTCTATTGTTATTTTGGGAATGGCGTTTTCAGAATTTAAGGCTGTTGATATGGCATTTGTTAGGATTTGAACATGGTTGTCTATTTCGTTAGAGTTTATGTTTTCTTTGTTTGGTATATTTCTCAAATTTTGTAGAATTAATGTGTTCCAAGAAATGCTGTTTATTTTATTAAAATTGTATATTGTTTTGGGTTGGTTATAGATGAGATTACTCCTCTGGTTTATTGTTAGTTCTATGCCGTGATGGTCTGAGGCAAAATCTTTTATTACTTTGCACCCGTACATAAATGTGTGGTTGTCTATTTTAATTGAGTTGGAAGTAATGAAAAAATCTATTGATGAGTCTTGTATTAGATTTGGGCGGGTTGGTTCTTGGCTGGGAATGATAGTAAGTGAAGGCTGGCCAGATAACCATTGATCGAGAACCTTTCCTGACTGATTTACATGGCGATTGTTATGATTTGGTTTGTTCCAAGAAGGGTGCTTGGCGTTTAGGTCGCATCCGATAATTATCTGATCGTAATTTTTAATTTTTAATATTGAGTTCATCAGTTTATTT